TATATATATATATATATATATATATATATATATATATATATATATATGGCACTGTTTTTGTATGACAACCCAGTGATGTCTGCAGCGCCAGCACAACGTTCGACGTCACGTGCACCGTTGAGTTTAGATTTGTGAAAATGTACAAGTTTGCACTGTTCGAGTGTTGTCATGGTGTTAGAGTAAATGTCATGAATAAATTTGACATTAAACATAATCCAAGTTGAAGTGTTGCATCATCTTCAGCCCCTTTTAGGCATCTGCATTTGGCAGCAGGCAAGTCCTGCAGAATAATGTAGTATTTTAATTCCACAGCAGAGAAAGATATGTAGTCCAGGAAGAAAAAATATCAGCATCGGTTATCGGCCAAATAAGTTTTAACATATTGGATATCAGCCAAAAATCCAATATCGTGCATCCCTAAAAAAGACACCCCCCCCCCCCCTCGTCTACAGAGCAGTGACGGGGGCATCTTTATATTGCAGGAAGTTTTTAAGACTTGTTGGCAGGTCCAGCTGCTCGATCTGGTGGATCTTGTTGATCTTCTTCAGGTATCGTCGCGCGGCGAGTCGGCACTGAGAAGTCAACGATTTGGGATTTCCTGGGGGTGACGGGACAGAAGGACATGTTTGTTATCAGGAATGTACTGCACATTAATAGTTTTTACTGTTACTACCAATGCATCAATTAAACAATCATCCTTTCTAACAGTCGTGTGCATCTTCTGAATTATTTTAGTACTTTTGAGAAATCAAAGACAAACTTTGTGGTTTTGTCCAAATAATTGTGTTTGAATTTCAGCTTTGTTTACAGTGTTGATATTTACCAGAAGTAACTTGATTTACATTTTATCTCAATGTTTTCTTTCAAGCCACAATTCAAGCAGCGGTTCACATCCTGCACAGTGTGAGTGGTAGTGAAGTGTGTCAGTAAAATATTCGCTCCACTTGGTGTTCTGTCTAAAGCGCCAGTTCCAAAAGAGTTGAGACATTGTGTCAAAGAACAGAATGCAAAGAACTGCAAAGCTCATAAACCCATATGTTATTCACAATGTAGCACAGATAACATCGATTGCTAGAATTAGGAAATTGTGCTTTTTTTGGGGGGGTGGGGGGTAATTTTAAATTTATGGCACGAATATCAATAAAACGTTGGGACAGAGACAACAAAATGCTGTAAATGCAAGTGATATGAACAAAAACCCAACAGATCAGTGAAAGAACAGAATATAAAACAAAACATTTTAGGCCCCGTTTACACGAGAGCGACCTCTGGAAATGTTTGTTTGTTCAAGGTTTATTTGAAATTAGGCAATAAATCAATTAATCGCATGATAAATGAAAATTATCAAACTCATTTTCGTTTACCGGCTTTACCGTTTGTGTCTCTCTCTTTCTACTGAAGACACTCGATGACAAAAAGCTCAACTCCGGTTCACTGACCCCTCCTTTTCTTGTTTCTCTTTAAAATCTATTTTAACGATCCAAAATTGTGTTTTTGGGTCGTTATAAGCAGCTAAGCTGAGAAGCTAAGCTAACAGGCCAACAGCGGAGAAAAACCTCCGTCTTGTCAAAGCTTCAAAATTCACGGTTGAAACTCGTGCCTTTGTGTAAAAAGTTGTTTTTCTCTGCAAAAAGAAGCTGAGAACTTGTTTACTGATTTTTATTAAAAGCTTTGTGTGAAAAATGCTACGCTAAAGAGCTCAAACTACACAGAGCGTCCGCCATTTTGAGAACCCAAGAGGAACAACCCATGTCACGTCAAGGGGCCTCACTTTTCTTAAAGAGACACGCTGCTCGTTCGCTCCCTCACTATCCATCCTTTGGTTCAAACAGTCTTATACTGCCATGTGGTGGTCGAAAAAAGGTACTACACGCAAAACAAATTAAACATTTGTACTTAAGTTTGACAATAATTACAAATTATTGTCAAATTTCAAACAATATTATCATTTATCGCAATAATTTATGAGGCAATTAATCACCCAGCAAAATTTGTTATTGTGACAGGCCTATTTGAAATAAACAAAAAAGTACAAGTTTGCATGAATACGCTGTAGTTTCCATGACAGCCAGGTAGGGTTGCCATATAGGAAATGATGAACTGATGTACTGTTGCGTTAAAACCACTGTGTTTTGACTCAAACTGTCATATGTGCTAAGTCGGCGTGTTGTAGGATGAGGTGCGTGTTGTTTGGTGAACAAGCGCACAGAAAAGTGGAGGGTAAAAAACATTCATGTTTATCTGGAAGCCCTAATGCCAGGCTCAGTGGTCTGCATGTCACAGTTACATCCAAACTGTTGAATACACCAATGCCCCTTTGGACCTAGGATGTTGTTGGCTTGCTCCTACATGCTGAAAAAGAGTGAGTAGCACAAAAAATACTGTTTTCTGTCATTTATTGTAACTAGCAAGAGCAGGAAAAACTTTCTGCAGCCACCTGTAGTGTGCATGTGCAACTTCACACCTGCGATGTCACAACTCTGCGGGGGTTCCCCCGAAAATCTCCACTGAAACCAGAATTCAGAAACCTTCGGATTCAGCGAGAAGAAGAGCTGTTGTTATGTAAATGAACGGCCGCGCTGCAGCAGAAAAGCAGCAGTTTCACTCAAATAAACAAGTCGTGTTGAGACGGAATCTGTCACAGGTAAAGATGGGCAGAGGTTCACCAGTCTTAAAAAGCTGCATCTGCTGTACTAGGCAGCACTGGATTAAAAACAGGCTTGATTCTGTTTTGAACACTGCATGGACTCAGGAGCACTCACAGTTCACCGTGTCATCCGCAAATGAAGAATAAATCTATCACGCAAAGAAGAAGCCACATGTGAACACCTTCCAGAAACATAGCCATCTTCTCTGAAGCAGAGCTCAATTTAAATACCTTATTTTTCAGCCTATAACTCAGTTTTTTGCATAATTTACATGCCCTGCGACTTATAGGCCGAAGCAACGTATTTATGGATTTTTTTCCCATATTTAAAAAACATTTTTTTGGCTGAGATATGTTTGTTTCCATTCATTCTGACTGAAAAAAGCAGTACCACTTTCAGCCACTTGATGGCAGCAGAGCAGTAATAGTATATAGCATGCCGTTGTATCATGTAATAGGTAAACGTGGCTATAATGACAAATTCAAAAAAGTTCAAGACAAAATCAACTGGACTTTATATTTTATTATTTTTATATACTTCACTTTATATTTTATTGTTTTTTTTCTTAAAGTTTTTTGAATTTACCATGTCCTGTTTTGACTGAGACTGTGATGGACTTGCGACCTGTCCAGTGTGTCCCCCGCCCCTCGCACAGTGATTGCTGGACATGAGCACCGGCGACCCCGTGACCCAAAATGGAATAAGCGGGTAAAGAAAATGGATGGATGGATGTTTGACTGAGAATCTTCACCAGCTATTAATGACTAAATCTGCCTGCCTTGGTCTCCCCACCTTCATTCTGCTCGCTGCTTGGAACCATCAAACCAGCTGCACAGCCCCGGCAAAATGCAGCTGATTTGACCATTAAAGTGCATTTATTAAGCAAATGTTAGACTGAGACACACCTTTGCTATAATTTCGAGCAAACAAATAATTGTTTAGATGCTTTTCTTGCTAATTTTTTGAGAACCGAGCTGCATTCCTCCTCCTTTTTCTCTTCCTCTGCGCGTTCACGGAGCACAGAGGCAGCAAAACTATTTTTGAAATGCAGCTGATTTGACCATCAAAGTGCATTTATTAAGCAAACGTTAGATTGATACACATTTACTATGACTTTGATCAAACAAATAATTGTTTTTTAAGTGTTAATCTTGTTAAATTCTTGTTAAAGTCCTCCTGTGCACACTCCCGTGGCAAACATTTGGCAGCCCATCGGTTTTTGGCACAACACCGGCCCACATTTCCAGGTTGTCAGCGGTGACGCATAATAGATGTGACGTATACGGCGACACAACATATTTATGGATTTTTCCACTTTATTAGACAAATGTGGATTGATGCGATTTATAGGGCGGTGCAACGTGTACGGCAGAAAATACGGTAACCTGAGGTGAAGAGAAAAACTGTTCTGTGGGTGAAAAAAAGAGTTGTAAGCTCAATCATCCAGGTAGATAACGACAACAAAGGTTAAATCTGTTCTGTAGTCAGATGAATCTAAACGAAAATTATTTTTAAAAACCACAGACGTCTCGTCCTTCGAACTAAAGAAGTGACCATGCAGTCTGTTATTAAAGAAAACCTCAGAAGCCTGCCTCTCTGATGGTATGGGGGTGCATTAGTGCCTATGGCACAGGTAGTTTACACATGTATAAAAGCACCAGCAGTGCAGAACACATGTTCTCATCCAGATGTTCAGTGAATACCTTGCAAATATCAGCAAGATCCAGTCCAGGTGTTGATGACTGCAGTCCAGACCTCGCACAAATACGAAACACCTGATGTGTCATGAAACATAAAACTGTCACCTCAGACCCAGGAGAAATGAACTGTTAGAATCCTACATCAGACAACAGTCTCCTCAGTTCCTGAAGATTGATGTAAAATTAACCTGAATAAATAGTTAGACATGTTGCTGCCAACAGACTTACCCTGAATTTTCCATAAAATAATAGTTTATTAGATTATTTATGTGACGTTTACTGTGTTCATTGTTAATAAAATGTGGGTTTATGAGATTTGCTCATGCTAACCGCTAACACTCAATGCAACATTTTTTGGACGTGGGGTTGTGGCAGCTTTCAGTCTCTTGGTACCTCTCTCTCTCAGGAGCAGCTCCACGGCTTCGTTCTGCTTGGTGGACTTCTCTATGATCAGCGTGGGGAGGTAGACGTTGGCTCCGAAGTCGATGAGCAGCTGGACGTACTCCACGCTGCAGCCGTGCCTCAGGCACATCTCCAGCACAGTTTTGGGCTGTTTCACGGAGCTCAGCACCTTCGCGTCGCCACAGTTATAATCCGGGTCGGCGCCGAAGAGCAGCAGCAGTCTGAAGCAGTCCATGTGTCCGTAAACAGCAGCCAGGTACAGGGGCCCGCTGCTCACCCTGGCGCTGGAGGTCCACAGTAAGACCTTAGAGCGAGAGTTCACCTCGGCGCCGTGCATGAGCAGCTGCTTCAGGATCTCCACGTCGCCTTCTCGCGCTGCAGTGAGGACCGGAGAGCCGTTGTTGGACGGGCTGCCGTTGGGGTTGGCGCCGGCTCTGAGGAGAGCTAAAACACAGTCCAGGTATTTCCCTCTGACCGCTGCAAACAGAGGCGTCTGCGCCTTAACGTCCACGCACTCCACCAGAGCTCCGTGAGCTAGCAGAACCTGCAGGACGCCCAGGTGGCCTTTGGACACGGCAGCATGCAGGGGGGTGCCGGCGATGCCCCACCCTCCTCGGCAGTTGATGACTTTCTTGTAGATCTCCTGGCAGAGCATCTCGTCGACGAGTCGCTCATCGTTTTGTAAAACGACGTGCCGGAGCCGGGAGATGTCACAGCTTCTTGCTTCCTCCTCACCCGTCCGAAGCCGGAGCATAGAGCCTTGTGGGACGTCAGAGAACAACAAGCCATGGGGATTTAACAACAAAACACCTTCGACAAAACAGCAGTGCATGAGTGTGTGTGTGTGGGGGGGGGGGGGGGGGGTGGCACCACTTTATAATCGCCTGCCACTGAGGGGCGAAACACAAAAGATGCTTTTTGCCTTTGTCTGTGTATGCACGAGTCTGTTAGCAAAATATCTCATGCAGTACTGAACAAATTTTAAAGAAGCTTGCAGAAAGTAAACCCTAGATGTCTATCTTTACCTGATTAATGTTCAGAGTAAATCCAATTCAACAAGGTCGCCACAGCTGATCCACAAGAACCAGCACAAACATGTCGGACAGTTTGGCATATAATCAGCTAAAATTTGAAGTTGTTGCTAAGATTTTCTCTCAACACGTACTGAGTGGAACGCCTTGTAAATGGACTGTACCTATACAGCTCCTACCTAATGAAGATACTCAAAGCTCTTTACAACACAAGCTGTGCCTCATTTACCTCCACACACACATTCATACAGAACTCTACTACTAGGCCTGTCACGATAAACAATAAATCAATTAATCGCATGATAAATTAAAATTATTCACCTCGTTTTCATTTATCGGCTTTATCATTTCTTCGTGCCTCTCTCTTTCTACTGAAGACACTGGATGAGAAAAGGCTCAACTCCGGCGCTCCTCACTGACCCTTCCATTTCTCTTTTCTCTTTAAAGATCCAAAATCACGTTTTTGGATCTTTAAAAGCAGCTAAGCTGAGAAGCTAAGCTACGAGCTAAGCTAACAGGCCGAACTTGGGGAAAAAAACTCCGTCTTGTCGAAGCTCCAAAATAGGGATGCACGATATTGGATATTTGGCCGATATCCAATATCTGATAACCGATGCTGATATTTTATACACGTTCCTTTGTCAGAACATAACCCTCTTATTTAGGATTATTTGCTACAAAAATTGTGAAACAGCTGTAAGAGCTGGTGACATATATTCATTAACAGCCATATGATATGCAGAGCACATTATATTAAATGAAAAGTGTTAAATGTTATTTATTAGCATTAGTCACCTGTGATGCTGTCTCACTTGTGAAAGCTTGTTCCAGGTATCTAGCTGCAGTGTGGGATCCTCTTGTGCATGAAGGACAGACTTTTTAAGTTCAAAGTTTTGTCTATCCATTGTGCCGTAAGACTAATCATGCTAACGGGGCTAACACGACGTCCAAATGTCTGTGGTAAAACTCAGTGCTAACGGCTATTAGCTTCTCAATGACGTCGGAAATGACGGCTTGTAACTCGGGTAACGTTACATCGGAAAAATATCTCCGACTGGGGACGATGTAGCGAGGCTCAACGTAGTCTATAAATCTTCGGAATCCAACATCCTCACCAACGAAAAATAAAACTTCCACACCGCAAACATTGTGAATTTTCCTCTCCGCTGTGAGATCAGATAGGTGCACATGACGTCATCGCGTTGTGCTGCCGCTGCAGACAAGACCAGCGCCGATTATATCGGCAAGTTATCTTAATGGAATGTCCGATATTGAACTTAAACGTTAATATCGTCCGATACTGATACCATGCCGATAATATTGTGCATCCCTACTCCAAAATTCACGGTTGAAACCCGTGCCTTCGTCTAAAAAGTTGTTTTTCTCTGGAAAAAAAAAAAGCTGAGGACTTGTTTGCTGATTTTTTATTAAAATCTTTGTGTAAAAAATGCTATGCTAAAGAGCTCAAACCGAGCGTCCGCCATTTTGAGAACCGAAGAGAGACAGCCCATGTCACGTCACGGGGCCTTCCTCCCATTTTTTCTTAAAGAGACACGCTGCTCGCTCCCTCACTATCCATCCTTCAGTTCAGTCTTATACTGCCATCCGGTGGTTGAAAAAAGGTACTACACTCAAAACAAATTAAACATTTCTTCTTCAATTTGACAGTAATTAATAATTATTGTCAAATTTCGAACAAGATTATCATCTGTCTAAATAAAGGTTGAATGAATTTATTGCAATAATTTCTGAGACAATCGCCCAACAAACGTTGTTATTGTGACAGGCCTATCTACCACACACATCCACACAGCACTCACCTCTCTACAAAGATCACGTGGATCTGTAGAGACAAATCAGAGCTTTAGATCACGTTCATGCACTGATGGGACACACAGTGGAAGAAATGAGGCGTTCAGTGTCTTGCCCAGAGACACTTCCACAAGTGACTGCAGGTGGAATGGAACCCCCAACTCTGTGAACTGGACCTCATGAAGATCAACCACCAAACACCAGTGAGCTCCAGTCCTTGAGCCAAACTTTACTCAAAATGTGTAGGATTTTATGGTTAACATCCTCCTGACATGTGGGCTTAAACTAATAATTAAAGTATGGTTTCTTATTGATGTGTGATGGTTTCCGGGACAATCGGCATTCACTTCAAAGCCTCACATCTGAATAAAGAGCGTTTTTCAAGATAAATTACTCTTTGAAACATCTTGTTCTGTGGGAGGAATTATGGCCAAACCCGACAAGTTGAAATCATTCTGATAACACTGCATCTATGATGAACTATGCTCGATGTTTTACAGAAGATGTCCCGTCACATCTGCGGAAACGAAACTCAACACGGGAATATTTATAAATGTTATCATGCAACAGCTGTAGATCAAAACTATTTCACTCGTTAAAGAAGCAACCGATGACACGTTCAAACGACGGGAAGCCTTAAAGTTTCATGTCAAGGTGCAGACATTAACTTGATTTAACTGAGCTGGGTGAACTAAAAGAGTCGGTTTCGTCTTGTATGTATCTTACCTCTGAGATGTAACCATCAGCTGCTTTCTTCTTTTCCGTTTTTCTCTTTTCCGGGTCTGTTTGTATGGAGGTTCTCTGCTGCCCTCTAGCGGTCGGGTGAAGACATGACATACAGTCCAGATGCATGCAAGTTAAGTCTGGTCCTCTGGACACTCAAAAAACAAAACAAAGCAAACAAAAAACAATAAAAAAATTGTAGAAACATTTCGTCTTTCGTCCAAAAGACGTCTGAGGAGCTGTTTTCAGCTCAGTCTCTTAAATAGCCCCTTCTCAGACTGGATCAACCAGTTTGCTGCTGACAACCAAAACCAGCTGATCACATGATCAAGAAGGACCATCAGCCTAACAATGGATCATTAGCACACTGATGGCTGTTTACTGTTCACAGAGGGCTGAGTGATACTAGCGATCACAGCATTGTAAGAGGGGGACAGTTGAACCCGGAGGCCTCCACCCCTGTTTAATGATGGACGATTTCTTTTCACAAAGATGGCCTCCTTTACTCCTCTCTCAAACCATCGTTCCTCTCTGTCCAGGATGTGAACATCTTCATCCCTGAAAGAGTGACCGCTGGCCTGGAGATGAGTGTAGACCGCAGAGTCCTGGCCTGATGATGTTGATCTTCTGTGCTGGGCCATCCTTTTGGCCAGTGGCTGTTTAGTTTCCACGATGTAAGACTGATCACAGCCCTCCTGACACTGAACAGCATACACAACATTACTCTGTTTGTGCCGGGGGACTGGATCTTTGGGATGAACCAGTCTTTGCCATAATGTATTTTGGGGTTTAAAAGCCACTGGGACGTTATGTTTAGAAAGTAAACGTCTCAGTTTCTCTGATACTCCCTCAACATATGGAATGACCACTGGTCTGGGTCTGGGTTCCTCCTTTTCACCTGATGGCTGACTGGAGTCCTGTTTGGCTTTCTTCTCTGCTTTCAGGAAGGCCCAGTTAGGATATCCACATTGCTCTAGAGCCTGTCTTGTGTGGGATTTCTCCTTCTGCCTGGCTCCTGAGCTAGTGGGGACGCTGTCTGCTCTGTGATACAGAGTCCTGATGACTCCTAACTTGTGCTCCAAAGGGTGATGGGAGTCAAACTGCAAATACTGCTCTGTGTGGGTGGGTTTGCGGTACACCTCGGTTTGCAAATGTCCTCTATCAGAGACTGAGACCTCACAGTCCAAGAAAGCCAACCTGCCATTTTTTACATCTTCTCGTGTGAACTTGATGTATTTATCCACAGAGTTGATGTGGTCAGTAAAATGTTGGACTTCCTGAGATTTGATTTTAACCCAGGTGTCGTCAACATACCTGAACCAATGACTTGGTGGTGTCCCTGAAAAGGACGTCAAGGCTCTCTTTTCTACCTCCTCCATGTACAGGTTGGCAACAATAGGAGAAACTGGAGACCCCATAGCACACCCATGTTTCTGCCTATAATATTGCTCCCCATATGTGAAGTAGGTTGACTGCAGGCACAGTTTCAAGAGTTGACA